ATCTGCGTGATCATCCTCTACTGTTCGATGGGCTTCCTCGGGTACCTGAAGTACGGCGAGAACGTCGGCGCCAGCATCTCCCTCTCACTGCCCAATGAGCCCATCTACGAGGGCGTGCAGCTGATGTACGCTCTGGCCATCACCCTTTCCTACCCCCTGCAGATGTACGTCGCCATTCACCTCGTCTGGCCACTGGTCAAGGACTTCCTCTGCAGCCAGCAGCGATCGACGCTCTTTGTCGGCATCGCCGAGTACGTCGTCAGGGCGTTGCTCGTTGTGCTCACCTGTGAGTGCTCTTAACCTTTTTTATTTATCACAAATGCTAATGATCGATTGCTTCTTTTTTCAGTCATCATGGCGGCCTTCATTCCTGAGCTGGATCTCGTCATTGAACTCATTGGCGCTTTCTCATGCAGGTACATTCTCTTTACATGTGCTTGCAAATTACACCTAAATTAACATTTTTATCTTTACCTTAGCGCTGTCGCCATTATCATTCCCACTATCCTGCATCTGGTAACGTTTTCCAACCGACGCACAGGTAAGCTAAAACTCAGAAAAAAGTGCAAACTTTTGACACTTTCTTTCTTCCCAATAGGAATGGACAAGGCATGGCTTTTCTTCAAGGATCTCCTCATCATGGGCCTCGGTCTGTTGGCTTTCACCACTGGCACCTACTACAGCATTCACGACATTGTGAATCGGTTGTCAGGCAATGACGGCCACTCTTCCACGGTAACCACCGCATTTGCCAACATGTCCTCATTCCCGACACTCTACAACTCCTCCACCACCTTCTCATCAGTGTTGCTCGAGAATACAACGGCAGCAGCACTCTTCACCAACTCCACCTTATGAGAAACGAGTAAGAAGTGGGCGCCCGAGTGATGCTGGGAAGACCTGTGCTGAGAGCAGTAACCAGAAAAGTGACAATGAAGACAGACAAACACAATGTGATTTAGAAAACAAACAGTTTTTCAATTCACCAGAATCACTTTTTACCTTGTTTTTGAAAAAACCACTTTGTCCTGCTTCTCACCAGTGTTCTTGGGTGCTAGTTTTGTAAGAATGTGAAGCTGTCATGCCACCCACCCATTTTCAGCCACTCCCCTCTTCCATCCCCATTGACAAATGTGATGTACTTTTGTTGTCGTTTTGTGTAAAATTATTAGTATCATCGCTACCATGAGCTGCACTCTTTTCTTCATTTCTCTATTCCAGGGTGCCCAATCCCTTGTAGTACGTTTTTAACGTGATCTACTTTTTTTACCCTACCTTCTACCTATCTTTCTTTTTTTTCTCCATTTCTCCCGATCTTTTTCATGTCCACTTTTTTCCACAAATATAACTGTTTTATTTTAATAAATTAATCAAATTAATATTACGTAAATATGTTGTTTGTGTGTAAATATGGCGTCAGTGGTTAATAAAAATAGATCTAGTCAAAATATAATCACAAACTTGGCCACTTAGCCAACAAACAACGCCATTTAAACTTAATGGATTTAAAAACTATTTTGAAATGACAGTAATGTCAATGTTGGTGATGGTTTATTAGGAATGAGACTGGTGATCAGACAAACAAACTAGCTATTTTTGCATATAAGCCCATCTCATGTAAACAGACATTGCCAACCATTCTGCTAGTCTGCCTATCTGATCACCAGTTTTATCCCAAATAAACCAGCACCAACATCAGCACCACACTAGTTATTACTTTTGTTTAAATATTTTTTAAAGAACAAATAACAAAAAAGTTTTACAAATAATAATTTTTTTATTTTTAAACTTTAATGATAAAAAAATTATTTAAAAACGCAAAATGTTAGGTTTTAGAACCTCACGCTTTCCCTACCTTTCAACACAATCAAGTGTTTTTAATCTTTTTTGTTTGCCTTTTTGCGTAACATCTCATGGCATTCTGGATGAGAGCATGTGTTAGGATCATATAGCACTTTACGCATAAGAGCCACATTTTCATCTCTGATAGCTTGAGCTTTTGCTTTAGCGTCAGCTTCAGCTTGAGCATTTGAACTTCTTTTACCGTTTTTTGGACTTGAATTGTTATTGAATTTATCCATTGTTCTGGTAAAAACTTTAAAACAAATAATAAATTAGTAAAAAACAATTGTTATATTTTAAAAGTACCTTTCCTATGTTTCTAACAAGTTTTAATGTTTGTTTGATGATCTGAATGCAAGAAGTTGTCGCGTTTATATACTGTGCGAGATCAATTCTCGATATTTTAAAGTTAAAAAGTGAACCCAAGTGCTCACTAAAAACAATCGTTCAAATTTTCTGGTAAATTTAAAAATAATTGAATTTAAAATTGATATAAAGCTCTAGTTGCCCTGATTACTAATATGTAAATATCTAAATAAATTACAAAATGGTTTTTTTTACAAATAGGGTTTAAAGTTGGCCAAAATATGCAGTTTAATATCTGCACAGCGGTTTTGCTCCGCTAGGTGGCGTGAAAAGTAACAGATCAAACAGAGCCAAAAGTACAGTTCAAACCCGGTTTTTATGGGAACCGCTCGAGACTCTTCTTACATCTTTACATGTTAGTAATCATGACAATTTTAGCGTTTCAACAATGCGCAACTTAATAGTTTTAAAATATAGCAAAAAATTAAACAATTTTGTTTTTACTCTTTACTTTATTGTGATTTCTTTTGAAAAATTGCAATTTTCTGAAAACAACTTTTATCATGTTAGTTATCATAATTTATTGGTTTTTGTCATTTCGCTTACACAAATGATAAAAAGCGCGTGACAAAAAATGAATGTCACATTCCTAAAAGCGTAAAAGTAAAACGAAACGAGCGTTTAAGTTCAACATTTATGTTAGGAGTGACCATTTAAAGAGCAAAATTCTACCAATTATTAAAGGTGTTAGCGGTTGCACTCAATGGGAAAACCTTTATGTCTTGCAATAGTTTCTCTGACAAAGAATTTAACGTTTTTCTAAGAAAATTGTTTTCTAGTCCCTGATTAATGACCTTAATGTTCATGCTGATCCTTTGAAACAGATTGCTGTCTATGGCTGTTGGCGTTAGTTCAGGCCGCTGTACTTTGCCACTATGTAATGAGCTAAGGGGAAAGAGGGTGCAAACACAAACACAGAAAACAGGCTAAAATAAAAGTATCTAATCTCTGTTTCTAAGCAGGGGCAAAAAAATAAATATGTTCTAAAACACGTCATTAAAACTATACCACCACAAAATAGAATTTCGAATATTTATCGAAATTGGCCAGATAAGCTTCCTTCAGATCGGACTTGCTTACATTTTTTCTATTGTCACATTCCATTGCACAACTCTCCACAAAACATCATGCGAACTTGGGAAGAGGAATGGATGAAGTTCATCGACGGACTGGACCAGAAGGAGGCCAATACGGATATGCTTCAAGCGCACAACTACTACACCAGCGACACTGCAGCTTCCTTTCTTCCTTCAACTAGCAAGGTACCGTACTCCTTCCAGAACACCCTCAGCGTATCTGACCTGGAGAACGAGCAATCGACGGTGCTGCTGCTCTGCCACTCCTTCTCCTGCAATCTGCTGACCACGCTGTACCTCTACTCGACTCAATTCTGCCTCATTGGACTACTCCTCCTGTTGATCGCTTCCCTCGCTCTGGTGGCCCTCTGTCTGCTTCTCTGTCTGCACTCCTACCACCAGTGCTTTGACTTGAAAACGACCACCAAAGGTGGAGGCAGGAAAAAGGGTGAGGGCGGTAATCACTCTTTGTCACCTTCCGATGGCTGTCTTCAGTGCCAAGGTCAACGGGACATTATCATTCAGGTGAATCAGGCGCTGCCAGTACAGCAGCCACCGGCACCGGCTCCTTTACCGCCAAAACAAAAGTCACCGCCCAAGGCTTCTCCACCAAAATCCGCCATTTCTCAGCCAAACAGTGAGGTGAATCAGCACTTAGCTGATGACCATTTAGAAGAGGACACAAAAGCTGTGGAAGAAAGTGACCACCAGCAGCAGCCAGAAGAGGGGAACCATCAGCAGGAGCCGGAGCCATCAGCAGTGTCGGTAGAGCCATCAGTATCATCAACGTCGGCAGCTGAACCGAAAAACAAGTCTGCAGCTCAGGACAGCATCGAGGTGCTGGCCATGCACCTGGCCACCCACCTCAGCTCGGTGCAGTCCCTCCTGGAGTCCTCTGATCGGAAGATGGCACGCAGTGGTCGTCGTCGTGGTGGTGGCTCCAAGAAGAGCAGCTCCAGCAGCAGCCAAGGCAGTCTGAGCACTGGCAGCACTGGCAGCGGCAGCGACAAGAGCATCTACCTGAGCGACCTGCCGCCACTTTCCTCACTGGCCGGCACCAGCACCAGCAATAGCACCAGCAGCAGTAGCACCAGTGGCGGCTCAAAGAAGGCAAAGAGAATGAAAAGACAGCAGCAGCTGCGCCAGCGGAAGCGACGCTCCATCCTCTGCTTTCCACTGTCGGCGAACCAGAGCACGCTGCCGGCGGCACTGTTCAGCAAGGACCAGCAAGCTCTGGCTGCCTCCGCCACCACCGAGGACGAGTACCAGACGGCGGACGAGGAGGAGGAGGTGGCGGCGGAGATGGCCGCTCTGCTGCTCCTCCAACAACCGGCACCGCCCCCGCCGCCGGCCATTCCGCTGCCCAGCTGCCAGGTGCCGCCCTGTATGGTGCTCAATCGATACGCCCACCAGCTACTGCCGCCCGAGGAGGGCGAGGAGGAGGAGGAACAGGCAGTCTCCAGCAGCGAGTCACTATAAGTGTGTGGGTGTGCTTTATTTTACTTTTTTATTACAGGATGTAAATAATGTAAATAATGTATAGGAGAGAGTGAAGGGATCAAATCAGCATAATAATATATACTTTCAAATAATATTAATAAGAAAAGGGGTGTGATAAAATGCAAATGAAACCGCGCCAACCACCATCACCGCAAATGAAAGTTCGGTTCGAGTGGCTGTGTGTTGAACAGTTGAAAATGAAAAAACGAGAGGTTGTCACTTTTTGAGTGGAGTCTTTCGAACGACCTTCTTCTTCTCCTCGGTCTTTCGGTCGGCAATCTTTTGGCGAATCTTCAGCATGGCGGCAGTCATCATGACGCCCCCGCCGTTGGTGCCCCCGCCATTGGTGGCGCCATTACTGCTGCCGCCGCGAGCTGGAGTGGATGATGAGTGGTTGCCGGCAGTGCCATTGCTCAACGCTGAGGTGGCGCTCTTTTTGCCGTTGGTGGTCGCCGTCGCCGTCTTTTTTGACGTGCCGGCGCCATTGGAGGTCATTGTTGCGGCAGCAGTCCGCTTCGCCGGACGCCGAGGTTTGCTGTCGATGAAGATCCGCGGTGAGCGCAATTTCCGCGCCTCTTCCCCCTCCTCGCTGCCCTTCATCACATTGTTCAGCTTCTTGGCGCTGCTGATGCGGTGATTGAGGTGCAGTTGATTCTCCTTGATGCTGTCGTCTACCTCAAATGGCCCAAAGAGTGGACTCTCGCCACCGTCTGGAGGTGTCATGCAGATGAGTGGAGTGCTAAGTCGAGGCGCCTTGGGCGTTGCAGGGTTGCGCGTCTTTTTGCCGTTGCTGTTCACGCCGTTTGAGTAAGTGGGCTGGTTGCCGTTCAGCCTGCCAATGTCCCTGAGAATGCTCCTCAGCTTGTCGTAATCAGGCTTTTCGTTGTACTCGAGAGCCTTCACGGCCTCAAAGAACTTATTCAGCCCCTTCGGTACTGTGGTGTTGATGGGAATGGTTCGCTTTCGGACGGCAGTCTCCTTTTCGGCGGTTTTGGACTTGCTTGACGATGCCTTTGAGTCGGAAATGAGGCCGCTATTAATGGGTTTATCACTGAACGCCTCCTTCAAAAACAGGTCAATGTGATCCATGGCCCAGTTCTTCTTCTCGAGAACTTGATCTGCATTTTTGAGCAAATTCTCCCAGGGGTGTCGTCCGTAGAACCAGAGGATGAGAGAGTAGCCGAAAGATTCAATATCACTCCTTCGTGAAATAACACCAAGGTGAGCATCACGGGATCGAAATTCACAGGTGCCGTTATTTGCTTTGCGCTTGTCGATTTCATTGTTTTTGTGATTTCCTTGAAACATGAAACGGTCGGCGAGACCGAAGTCAATCAGCACATATTTGTCATCTTCCAGAATTTCATTGTCGACAGTGGAATCGGTGATTGTTCTTTTGCTTGCTCGCTTGTTCTTTGGGGTCGCCTGAGCAGTGGACTGAGAACTTTTTAACCGAAGAATGTTCTGAGCCTTAATATCTGCGTGGATGTAGCCCGCGTTGTGGATGAACTCGAGAGCATCTGAAGAAGAAAAGATAGAAATTAGTCTTTTGTATTGTTTTGAAAAGAATGACATACCGATTATGCGACAGGCAATTCGTGAAGTCACACTAATACTAAGGCGATGTTTCTCAAGAACTGACTGCAGCTCTTCGCCGAGCAGCTCCATCACAAGGTACCGGTAAGAGCCGCTCTTGATGGTGTCGGTTCCGGATGCAATAAAACGAGGAATACCAAGGTAGTCCAGTCCCTTCTCTTCCATGAAGTTCTTGACGTTGGCATTGGCATTGGAGATGACACGAATAAAGAAGTTCACCTCCACGAAGAGTGGTCCATTGAGATTGTCGACCTTCATCACATATTGATTCTTTGGATTATCCTTCTCGTGACAGAGGTAGATCTCGCCAAAGCCACCACAGCCAACAGCGCGTCCTGGTTGAAGAAATGAATAAGATTAAGTTGTTGTGGTTGTTGTTGCGGCTGTTGCCATTGCATCATTACCGATAATCCATTGCTTGCCAATCACCTCTCCCTCCTTGATTGGATTACACAGGCGATAACCGTTAGCGGCGATTCGGCCTACAGTGAAGGGGGAAAAGAGATGAAGAAGACCAATTAATGTTAGCACCATCAACACAGCTGCCAGTGCCTCAGAAGCGGTCCTGGCCAGCCGAAGACCTACCCTTCGCCGTGTTACGGATCTTGTCAGTCATTCTTCTCCGACAGCGGATGTAGGAGATGCCCTGGAACTGACTCTTCAAGTTCCAGCTTCTCTTTGTTTGCAGGCTCTCTCTCTTTCTTTGCAGTCAGTGCGGCGGAGAAAACAGAAGAAACCGGTGAGCAGCTCACACTGAACAGATCGCCGAACAGGACAACTCTCCGAACAGCTGTTGAAGGCGGAGACGTCAACTGCCGTCGCTGCTGCTGCAGAAGAACAAAAATACTTGTTTGTCCAAAACTATCCACCAGTCAGCGACATTCCAAACGGTCGTGGCAAACAAAAAGTTTGCCAAAAGAAATTGGAGGTCACCTAAGTACTTGTAAATAGAGAAAGCAGAGACTTCTCTGCTACCCTACCATTTCTTACTGAAGTTGTTGGCGCCTCAACGACACTGCAACTGTTGCCGACTGTCTTACACTAGAGTTTGAATTAGCGTTCTAGAATTTGACTGTGGTCCCCATGATGCAAGAACTTTGCCTTGTTAGCTAAGTTGCAC